AGCGTCCACAAGGCGGCGGGAGCCGTGGGCGGGGCCGTGGGCGGGGCTGTCGACACCGCCGGCGCCGCCTCGCGCGAGACGGCGTTGCTCGCGGGCCGCACGCTGCTGATGCTGCTCAACAACCCGATCACCGGCCCGGCCACCATGCGCATGCTGCGCGAAGGCCCCGACACCGCCACCGCGCTCCTCGACCTGCTGCTGGTGCCCGTGCTGCCGACGGTGCGCATGCTCGTGGGTAAAGAGCTGATTGAGATGTCCCAGCCTGGTGCCGCCGTCCCCGTCAACAGCGTCATCACCTTCGCCTTTGCGCGCCGCCTCAATGTCGAGCCCGGCGACCTGCGCGCGGGCAAGGTCGTCCCAGAGCTGAGCCTGCGCCTCTCACCCCTCGCGGCGGGGCTCGGCGGGATGGTCAAGATGGTCGGACAGGGCGGCGCCGCCGTCGGCTCCACGGCCGCGTCCGCCGTGCCCGGCAAGAAGACGAAGAAGGCGAAGGCCGACGACGCGCAGGGTTCGGTGGCGGCGCTCAAGGAGCTGCGCGACGCGGGCATCATCTCGGGGCGAGAGTACGAGCGGAAGAAGGCAAAGGCGCTGGGGACGAACGCGGAGAAGGCGTACGAGGACGGCTTCGCCGCCGGGCGCGCGGCCGCTCGGGCGGAGCGCGGCCCCTTTGCCGCCTGCCTTCCCAAGGCGCAGACGGCGGCCGAGGCGGCCGAGGCCAAGGCGGCGGCGGAGGCCAAGGCGGCGGCGGAGGCCAAGGCCAGGGAGGAGTGGCCGGTGGAGTACCGCGACATCAAGGAGCAGATCATCAAGATGACGCCCACGCTCAAGTTCTCGCTCTCGCTCGGCCAGCTCGACGCCTATGTCGGCGCGACCGGCTGGCTCGGGTCGCTGCTCTCGGGCTCGACGCAGCCGTCCGAGGCGGCGCTCGCGCGGCTGCGGCTCGAGCGCGTGTCGGTCGAGGCGCGGGTGCGCATCTTCTGGCACCCGCGCGCGCAGAAGGCCAAGGTCGTGATGCTGAGCGAGCCGCCGCCCAAGGTGGTTGAGCTGTCGCACGAGCTGACGGTCCTGCGGTCGTGCGCGGTGCCGCCCGAGCTCAACCAGCGGCTGCTCGAGCTGGTGCTGCCAAAGCTGGCGGGCAAGTTCTTCGACATCGACCTGAAGCCGCCCCGCGGCGAGGACGCCGCGCCGGACAGCGGCGACGAGGCTGCGGGCAGGGCGGGCAAGAAGAAGACGAAGAAGAGCTCCTCCGAGAAGAGGAGCCCGCGGGGGGAGGGGGAGTCCGAGGCCAAGGCGGACGACGAGGCCGCGGACGACGAGTGAGTCGGGGGCGCACCGCCGTGCACCGCTCCTCGCAGAGGCGTCTATTGCACCAGTGGCGCTGTCGCCGGCCGAGCCGCTCGCCGAATTTGTTGCGCAAACTGTGATTATGCTTATGGCGCTCTCTCTATGTTCGGTGACCCAGACCCTCAGAGATGTTTACTTTTCACATTCTTTCTGTCTATTAACGAGTACTATCACACATGCACATGCACAAAGGCTCGTGTATTCCCCTCTATGTCACACGAGATACTAAACTGACCTGACACTTGCGCATCTTGCAAACAACAAAACACCATGCGTACCTCACGAGTTACGTGTAGTGCGAGTCACAAACACATATTCACGCGAGGCTGCCGGCTTTTAGTACAGCTCTCGGCGACAGTTGGGGCACGTTGGCGCCTCGTTGGCACCATTGCTCGACCCGCGAGCGCGACGTGCCTGCGCCTTCCATTCGTTGAGGCAGTTGAGGTGGAACGGCTTCTCGCAGAGGCAATGATGCCGCCACAGCGCGCCGCCCTCCACGCCCTCCAGGCAGATGAGGCAGCACTCTTCCTCATCCTCAGACGCCTCACCGGCCGGCTGAGGCGGCGGCTGAGGCGGCGGCTGAGGCGGCGGCTCTGAGGGGCCCGCCGCGGGTTGCTGCGCCCTCCGCCGCCTCTCCTCCTCCCTGAATGTCTGGAGGATGAGCCGGCTCGCTCGGTCGATCAGCTCGGCCTCCTGTGCGTCTCGCGCCGCCCGAGCATTGCGCTCCTCGGCCTCCCGGATGCGGCTCGCGACCCACCGCTGGTACGCCTGCTCCTCCGCAGCTTCCGCCGCCGCCGCCGCCTCGACCTGCCGCGCCCTCTCCGCATCCCTCCTCTCTCGGTACTCCCTCTTCCTCCGCATCCGCTCCTCTCGCGCCGCAGCACGCCTTTCCCTCGCCGTCGCCTCCGCCTCCGCCTCCGCCTGACGCTCCCTCGCCGCCTCCGCAGCCTCCTCCTCTCGAGCGGCCGCAGCCGCAGCCGCGCGTGACGCCGCCTCCTCGCGAGCGAGCGCGGCCGCCGTGCGCTGTCGCGCCGCCGACGCAGCCGACGCAGCAGCGGCCTCCTGCGCCCGCCGGGCCTCGGCCTCGCGCTCCGCCGCGGCCCGCGCCTTAGCTTGGCGCGCCGCCGCCCTCAGGTCTGACGCCCGTCGCACCTCAGCAGCCCGCGCGGCCCTTTGCTGCGCCGCTTCTCTCGCGGCCGCCTCGCCCCGCAGCGCCGCGGCCTCGCGGTGCGCGAGCTTCTCACTCACCCGCTGGACCTCCTCGGCTTCGAAGCCGGCACCGTAGCGTTCGAGCACAAGCGATGCGTGTGAGCAGTCCTCCAGCGCCTCCGCGTGCTCGTCTAGCCCAAGCCGAGCCTGCGCCCGATTGCTCAAGCTGAGGATCAGCGGCCACGCGGCAGACACGTCGGCCTCGAAGACGGCGAGGTTGTTCACCGCCTCAGTATACGCCGCCGCCGCCGCCTCGTGACTCCTGGTGCGCATGGCGTCGTTGCCGCGCTGCCTCGCCGCCGCAGCCTCGGCCACGGCGTCGCTCACGTTGCGGCGGCGACGCTTCCGCACCTGCGCACGCAGCTCGACCATCCGCTCTTGCTGCCGGGCATTCAACGCCGCGACGACCTCGTCGGCATATTCGAGGTCGGAGGTGCCGAGACCGCACACCCTACACGCCATCTCGCCAAACCAGAGTGTATTGGGCGCGACGTATCCCTTCGACGCGGCGAGGCCAAGCCAATAGATCATCTGCTGGTAGACGGCGTCATCGGCATCCTCGGCCCGAAGCGGCCTCTTGTTCTGTTGCCACTCAGTACCCAGCAGCTTCGATTCGCAAATGTGTGCCACCGCGATACACGCCTCGCCAAGGCCATGACGAGCAGCCGCGTAGTAGAGCTCACACGCCTCGTGAGGGTCGCGCTCAGCGTTACCGACGCCGAGGCCACCGAACATCAGCACATCGGCGAGCTTGAGCGTAGCAACGGGGTCATTCTCCCCGTAGGCAGCCTCTTTCAGCTCGGCGAGGGTCCGCGGCCCAGACCGCAGCCACCTCCTGACGGCCGCATCCATATCCAGGCCGTCTATGTCGTCGCCGCTTCGAAAATTGCGCCGGTTCAGAAGCTCCTGCCCGAGCCGCATTGACCATTGCCCTTTCATCTCGGGTAAGCCCGCCTCGGCATCGAGCTGCGCCTGAGCATCATCGCCGATCTTTCTCATGCTCACCTGGATGCTTCTGTCGATGTCCGACCTTTGAAATATCTCTTGCATCTCGCGCTCTGTGTCGGCGTCCATCCCTGAGCCGCCGTCAGGGAACGTGAGCGTAGCAGCCTGTGTGAGGGCGAGAGGGCGAAGGTGAGGCTGAAGGTGATGGCGTGACGGTGTGAGGGCGAGGCTCGAGGGCGAGGAACACGCCTCATGATAGGTCGGCGAGAGGCTGGCGTTGTTCGCGGCGAAGTGGAGGACCGCTTGCAACGACATCTTGGTGAACACTCCGTAGCACACCGTCGACGGCTCGGCCGCGCAGAATCGCTGTGCGAACTCGCTGAAGGCGGACCGAGTGGTGCTATCCTTCACGGAACAGACGGAGCGCATCATCATGACTTGGCCAAAGGCGCTGCTCGCGAGGCCGGCCGCGCGGATGTCGTCGCGCGCGCACAGCATGAGCGCCGCCAGCGGCTTCTGCTTCAGCAGCAGGTGGAAGGCCGCCATGTGCTCGCACATGAGCTCGCACTTTGCCACCGTGTCCTTCGCGAGCCGCCGGCCGTCGGAGCACAGCGCCGCCAGAGCCACGTCGAGCCTCTGCTCGGCGGAGACGTCTCGGCCGATCGCCTGGTACTTTACGGACCAGAGTGTCTGCAGCGGCTCGTAGAACGACCACACATCGGAGTACTCGCCGCGGTTATTCAGCACGTTGTACACCGCGCAGCGCAGCTCGATGCCTGCGATGACCGGCTGCAGCAAGAGCGCCTCGCGGCCACGCGCCCAGCCGTCGACGAATTCGCCGAGCGCGCGCGGGTTCGCAGAAGCGGCGTGCGCGCGGAAGCACGCGATGATTGCGCCTGCATCCTGCCGATCTGCGGCCGGCGAAGCCTCGGCGGCGGCGGCCACAACACCCGCGGCGAGCACGACAGGGCAGCGCGCGTACACCGGGCGCAGCTCGTCCGGAGTTTCTCGGTTGAAGCGATCTCGTGGCTCGCTATCTGACACCGGCATGGCGCCCGACATAAGAGCACCGCACACGCTGCTAGTGTCGGTGGCTCCCGACTCCTTGGCAACGTTGAGGAAGAGTGCGACCGGAAGCATGATGCTGTTGCTCGGAGAGAGCACGCGCGTGTTGCGCACGCACACGATGGCGACGAGATCGCGACCAGGGTCGTGCAGCACAACGTTGTATGCGTTGATGTCCGGCCGGCCCAAGTAGGCCTCGGGCCGTCGTGCACTGGCCATGGGTTTGACGCCGTCAGCTCACCGACGCACAAAATCGTAACGAGAGTCTGTGCAGGGTGTGAACAGCAGCTCCTGACCACGGCCGCCTCGCCTTGCTGAAGGTCCAGGTGCCCAAAAATAGAGAAATTCTTGCTTGGAACCCAAATCAGCGCCCCGGCGGCATGCTCGCTCCCTGGGACCAGCCCTTCACGCGTACCATCGGCGAGGACCTCCAGCGAATGACCGTCTTCCGCCTGGCCGGCGACGCGAGCCACGCGCTGGCGTGGGCGGTTCTACTGCTCATCCTCTGCTGCTCGCGCTCGGCAGCGGGCCTGTCGCTGCGAACGCAGGAGCTCCTCTTGCTCGTTTACGCCTGGCGTTATCAGGACCTCGCGTGGAACTTCCTGAGCTTGTACAACTGGTGCACCAAGCTAGCCTACCTGTCGCTCGCTGTCTGTGTCGTCTCCGCCTGCCACTGCGTGCCCGCGCTGCGCCGCACGCGCAACTACTCGACCGATCTTCGGCCGCTCAGCACGCTGCTGCTGCTCGTGCTGCCGTCACTCCTGCTAGGCTATGCCACCAGCATGGACCGCACGAGCCCGTTCGAGAACCTTTGGGCTTCGTCGCTCTACCTCGAGGCGGTGGCGGCGGTGCCGCAGCTGGTGCTCATTGTGCGCGAGGGCTCCTCCCGCTCGGCGGTCTCTCACTACATTTTTCTGCTGGCCCTGTACCGCGCCTTCTATCTGGGCAACTGGGCGCAGCGCTACCGTCGCGAGCCCTACTACTGGCAGCCGCAGGCGTGGACGTCGGGCGCCGTGCAGACGCTCTTGTATGTGCCCTTCTTCATCGTCTACTGCCGCGCGAAGCTCTGCTGCCTTCGCCCGCATGCTCGCGTGCAGCTCACGGAGATTCGCTCGTTGCTGCGTGGCGGCGACGAAACCGGCGGCGGCGCGGCTGAGGGCACGGCGGACGGCGTCGTCGGGGGTGCCGTCGTGTCAGGTCCAGCGCTGGAGCATTGCAAGTTCCGCTGCCCTTCGTGCGGTACCGACATTTTGGACATGCTGCGGCCGGGCCGGCTGAGCACGGTGCGCTGCAAGTGCGGCGAGGCCTTCCAGGTTAACCTCGAGCCGCAGGCCAAGCCCGCCGCCGCCGCCGGCGCGAAGAAGAAGAAGAAGGCTTGTTTCGGCTCGCGGAGCGTCCGTGGCAGCCCGGGCGAACTGCGCCAAGCAACACTTGAGTCGTTGCCTGAATGATCCTCTGAAATCCTCTCGCCGTTTCTGAATTCTTTGTCGTCGACTCTGCTTGAAAGAAAGAAACCAGAAGGCCACTGCCTAAGCCTCGACGGCTCCATGGCCGGCATGTTGGGTACTATACGGGCGGCGGGAAGTGCGCTTCCTGCCAGGCGCTAGCGGTGGAGCTTGGCTGGCTCGATACTGTGCACTCAGGCCCGGAACCAGACGGGCTGCGTGGTGACGACGCGCCGGATGCCGTGCCGACGGCCGACAAGATGCCCGACGCGACGGGTGGGACCATGTCAAGGTCGGACGGGGCGGTGTTATTTAGCCGCAAGTCTTACCGGGAATGCACGCAGCGCCAGAAGGCCGCGGTGTGGCTCTGCGAAGGCTGCCACACGCACCAGCGCACCACAAGCATGCTTGCCCGGAGGGCCGGTCTCTGCTGGTTGGGTGAGCGGTGGGGGAAGATGCTGTGCAGACCGAAGTAGTGCGTATTATCGCTTCTAGCTTGGAGGGTGTGTGTGGTCCGTCTCCAACCCCTACACCACATATCCCACACCGGTAGAGCTCGACTGCACCTCGGCAAGCATACGAGAAAAAAATTGCAACTCATTGCAACGCCTACTGACACAGACGCAGGCTTGCCGTTGGCGACGTCGGTTATCAGAGGGGTCAGGTCATAGTGACGCGCTCGATGGGATGCTGCATTGACGCAGACAGCAAAAGCATCGCAGGAGCGGAGACCTTCTCATGAGTGGCGGCTCGCACCATGCGGCAGTGCGGACACCAGGTGCGCGAATTTAAGCACTTGGAGCACTTGGAGTGCAGTCATCAGCCTCACATCCAGGGCCGGGGAGCTAAGAAGCGCACCCAGCGGGCCGGATGATCGGGATCGGGCTACGGGCTAGAGAGCCCACGAGAGCCCTGACCCCTAGGGGGGGGTGCGCGTTCGCAGGTAGAGGGCCGTAAAGTAAACACGGGTCTCCGAGGGTTAGCTCCGCGCTCCAGGTTTCCCCTAGCAGCAGAACGCCCCCTCTACTCGGAGCTAGTAAACACTCGACACGGACGGACTCGACGCCCTTTCCGGGCACAGGCCCTTTTGGGCGAAACAAGACCAACCTACCTACCTATCTGGGAGGGGCCAGCCAGTGTGGAGGTTCTCCCTTATCACTCTTGATTTGCCAACAATATATTGGCCTAAGCACAATATTCTCGAATATCTCCGAGAATATAGATGGTCCCGCGCACTTTCGTATTCGAGAATATTCTCGAGAATATAGATGCCCCGGCGCGGCTTTTTCTCAAGAATCTACGAGTTTTCTTCAGCCCTTGACCTTGGTTGACCTCGAGTCTCAAGATATTCTTGAATATTCTCGACGTTACATCGCGGCGTCTAGAACGGTCTTGACTACAGCTTCTCGAAGCAGCTCTTTTGCCCCCTCAACAGTAGGTTTTGGGTCGATGCAGACGGAAATCTTTAAGTTTTCGACGTTCCTGAGCGGTTTGGGAGCACAAACCTCTACTTTAGAGCGATTTTTGGCGTCCGCTGACCTCTCGCGTGGTGAAAATATTCTCAATATTCGAGAATATTCTCGAGAATATAGATGGTCTGGCGAGAATATAAGCAAAAGAATATAGATAGTACTTGGCGAGAAAAGCGTGCTTAGGCTAAACAATATACCTATTCGACACCCTACCCTACTGTGTGGACAGACCCCCTATCCGGCTACTCGAGTAGGAAGCCCGGGCCCTGACAGCGCCTTGCGCCTGTTTCGTGGTCCATATGAGCTGCCGCGAGTACATCGCGGAGGAGGCCGCTGCACTGCGCGAGCAGCGTGCCTCCACGGCCGAGCTGCGTGCGGCCATAACCTCACGGGCCGTCGACGCCCTCGAGGCCGCGATCGACGCTTGCGCCGCCGCCTCGGAGCCGAGCAGAGCCGAAGCGAGGAGGCTACTGAGGGAGCTGCGGGCGGCCGAGTCGTCGGAAGCGGCGGCGGCATCACAGCAGCGCCACTCGGCGGCGCACGAAGATGACACAGCGGCCGAATGGGCAGCGGCGCGGCAGCGTGCAGAGCGCCGAGACCCGTACGAGGACGACGCGAGCACTCCAACCGACGACGCGAGCACTCCAACCGCCGCAGAGCGCGAGCGGAACGAGCTGAGAGCGCAGGCCACGCACGCGCGCATCTTGGGCGAGGCGGAGAACGGCTGCCGGCGAGTGGCCAGCGGCGCGTGCCGCTTCTATGTGACGCCGCCGATCAACGGATACTACCGCCGGCTGGTAACCCTAACCGTAACCCTAACCGTAACCGTAACCTAACCCTAACCCTAACCCTAACCCCAACCTAGGTGCACGAACTGGCTGAGTCGCACAACCTGGCACATGAGTCTGTCGCGGACGTCGGCACCGTCTACACCTACAACTGGTCGCGGCACGGCAAGCCGTGCTTGAGCGATTGCCCGTGCACGTTCTGCTTGGTCGGCCTGCAGCACCAAGACGGCGGCAAGGCGGTCGTCGTCGCGCCGGTCGGCGCCTTGGACGACGCGCTGATCGCCGAGGCCAGAGCGCAGGCAGCAGTCAAGGCGCCATCGGAGGGAGGCTCGATCGCCAAACGAATGCCGTGAGCCCGTGACGCCACTTCCAACTGGTCTATGTTGACTCTTGCAGATCGGATGAGTCGAGTTGTATGTGAAGAAGATGTAGGATTGCGAGCGTAGGTGCTAGCAATCGTACAGAGATGCTACGATTGCGAGGAGGGCTGCTCACTCTCAATCCTAGCGGTACAAAAGTGAAACGAAGAAGGTTCACCGCCACCGGGGCCACGACGTTTTGAAACGAACTGAATTCTCGCAATTCTTCGACTCGAAACTCTCCCGCCGGCGCGGCGGCCCGTCTCCTCGCGACCCGAGACTACCCCGGCGTTACCCCGCGCTGCTTTGGGGCCGCATACGTTAGGACGGGTTAGTGCCGGGTTAGCGTCGGGTTAGCGTCGGGTTATGGTAACCCGTTCTGACCCGTGCTAACCCATGCCGGGTTAGTGTGGCTTAACCCGGGTGTACCCACGCTAACCCGCGATTACCGAAGGACTCACTTTCAAGTAGGAGACTTAAGGGAGTGAATTCTCGCAATTCTTCGAGTCGAACTCTCCCGCGCCGGCGCGGCGGCCCGTCTCCTCGCGTGCCGGCGGCACTGGCTCGAGTCCCATGGGCAGAGGAGGGCACGGTGATGGCGGTGACGCACCGTGCACGCCAGCCGCGGCTATCGTCTTCCTGGTCGCTCTTTTCGCCGGCACCTTCTGCACCATCTTTTGCAAGGCGCCGATGCCAATCTCGCCTGTACCCCTCCACCGATACGCCGCCCTCACCACCGATGCGCCGCCCTCACCACCTCCGAGTGCTCGCCGCAGGCAGCGATGGGCATGACCACCGAGGGCTACACGGGCGAGATGGAAAACACAAAATTCCCCATCTTCTTCACGTTCGCCATGTTTCTGGGCATGTCTTGTGCGCTGCCGGCGCACTTCATCAACGAGGCCTGCAAGTCCAAGGACTCAGGCATGCCCGACACGCCGAAGCTCGGTCTCAAGGGCGTGCTGCTGCTGGGCCTGCCCTCGGTCTTTGACCTTCTCGCGACGGCGCTGACCACAGTCGGCCTCCTCCACATCCCGGCCTCGATCTGGCAGCTGCTGCGAGGCGGTGCGATCGTCCTCGTCGCGCTGATGAAGAATTTTGTGCTCAACGACCCTCTCAACAAGACGCAGTGGGCCGGCGTCGTAGTCATCGCCGTCGCCATCGCCATCGTCGGCTACTCATCCACGATGGGTGGCAAGGCGCCGGAGGCGGAGGGGCGGCGGCTCGCGGTGCACGCCGAGGGGCAAAATCCGATCCTCGGCATGGCGGTGACCGCACTCGGCACGCTGATGCAGTCCTTCCAGTACGTGTACGAGGAGAAGGTGATGGCGGACATGGACTGCCCGCCCCTGCTGCTCATCGGCACGGAGGGTGCCTTCGGCTTCGTCCTCTGCGGCCTCGTGCTCTACCCGATCGCCTACGCCATGCCAGGCGTCGACCACGGCCACTACGAGGACCCGTTCAACACCCTCCACAAGATCTCGCACAACATGACGCTGCTCGGCTTCATCGCCTGCTACACCTCGCTCATCTTCGTCCTCAACTCGCTCTCGATCGTCATCACGTACATGCTCTCCTCCGTCTGGCACGCCATCCTCGACAACTTCCGGCCCGTCTTCGTCTGGATCTCATCGCTGATCATCTTCTACCTCGTCTCGAGCGGCACTGCCGGAGAGGAGTGGACCTGGCCCGCGTCGTACGTGCAACTTCTCGGCACCGTCGTGCTCCTCTTTGGCACCGCCGTGTACAACGGCTCGGTCGCCTTGCCCGGCCTGGAGGACGGCGAGCCGCTCAAGGAGACGCTGCTGCCCTCCGAAGGAAGCAAGGCCTCCGCCTCGCCGCGCGCGTCGATCCCGCAGCTCGGCCTCAACAGCTCGCCGGTCCTCGCGAAGAACGTGATGCGGGTTGCTTCTGGACGGCTCAGCCGGTAGAGAGCAACAGGTTCTGACCGAGAGGGGTCTCTCAGCCGGGCTGCTGGCTCCCTGGCTGGGCATGAGCGTGATGATCATATGTGTGACAGCGATGTGATGGCGCTGATGGTGATGCCCTTATCGCTTATGCAGGCGACGAGATGCAATTTATTCGAAGATAAGGAGTGTAAACCCTGTTGGCTGTTTTGGGGCACCACACAGCACGACTCTACGACACGTGGACGTGCGGTGCTGCGGTGTACCTCACTCTCCTCACACACAAGTAAGAAAAGAGATGTCCCGCAACTTGTATGGTAACACGGACTACAGTACGGCTCTACACATATGACATATGTTGTCGCCGCTCTCAGCACTCTGTGTGCACGAGCTGTGTGAGAGCTTTTACCTTGAGAGAGGCTCCAGTGTTCCGCGATCGGAAGCTCGCATTCAGGCACGCCGGAGAGAGCGCGCACGAATCAGGAATCACCTGCTGGGGCTGGTTGCCGAGCGATCGCCAAACTTCCTACCAAATTATAGTAGCCATTGTGTCGCGCCCGCTGGCAGGTGGAAATGGCAGCCGCGTATGTGAGATAGGCACGTGGAGAGCCGATGCCATGCTCGAGGCCTCCGGCAGTCCGCACCGCCTCGCGAAAGGGAAGCAACGATCAACTCCAGCTTGGACTTGGGTGCGCCGAGCGCCCGGCGCGTAGGTCGCGACCGACGCGCAGCGCGGGCACGTCGCGAGCACAGGAGCGGGTGCCGTGCCACTAACCTGGTTGTGCCGGGCAGGGCAGTGCCGCTTCCGGCGAGCGCCGGCGAGCGCCGCCGCGCCGCCACGCGGTCGTCATCCTCGGCGAGGGTTCTTCTGCCCTCCGCGCGCGTGCGCGCAGCTCTGCGCATTGCTGCACATTGCTCCAGGAGAACATTCTCCTGCAGCAGGGTGCAGAAGGTGCTGCAGGGCTGCTCGCCGCACGGGCGCCTTGGCGCTCGGCCGCTCCTCTTGCGGCTGGTACGAGAGCGAGGCTCCTCTTGCGGGTTGGCTGGTACGAGCTGGCCGGCGGGAGGCGGCGACAGGCGGCGGCTGGCGGCGGGGGCCGCGGCGGCGCGCGCTCGAGAGGCGGAATGCGGCGCCCGCGTGGCGCGGGCCGCAGAGGTTGGCAGAGCCTCGGCAGAGCCAGAGGCTCTGCCCTGCTGGAGGTTCCCGCTGGCGGTCTGCCGCCGGCGGTGGGTGGGGAGGGCGGCTGCCCTCGCCTACCCCTCATTCCTGGGCGTGTCCTCATCTACGTCACCGCCGCGATAGGACGCTCGGGCTCGTCGGGCGCGGCTGGCGCCGCGTCTTTTTTTCTCGAGTGGCCACGGGTTTGGGGAGCGGGCGGGGCGGCTGCTGCGGCAGAGGCGGAGGGCGGCTGCCTCCGCCCGGTTTCTGGTGCGTCCTGGACGCTGGACGAGTCCGCTTTTACGTCACCAACGAATGGCTGCCGCCCGAGTACGACTTTTGGGCGCGGTCGTTGCTGCGTCGATTTCTACAGCGAGGCCACAGGATCAGAGGGCGGGTGGGGCGGCCGTCGAGACGCCGGCGGGGGCGGCGGTCGAGCGGGCAGGCGCGAGGGCCAGGCGAGACGGCGGGCGGCGGGCGGGGCGGCGGGCGAGGCGGCTGGCGTCGTGGGCGCGCATGGGGGAGGCGGTGCGGGCGGCAGGCGCATGCGCGGGTGAGGGTCGGGCGGGGGGCGGTCACGCCCTGCGCCTCACGCCGCGCGTCCCACGCACGCCCCGCGCCCCGCGCCCCCACGCCCCCACCTCGCGCCTCACGCCTCCCTCCCCACCCTCTCAGGCATTTCTCGTCCATACAGTGCACACTGGGGCTCGGCCCCAAGTGCGCTGGCCTCGCGTCTCGAGGGGGGGCTCCGAAAGGTCGGCATGCCTGGCATGTCGGCTTATACTAGGCAGGTCATTGGCCTCCCCCCCGCCAAACTCGGCCATTCCAACGGCCAGGCCGCTCGCTTAAGGCTGATTGGCTAGACGAGCGGTCTACCTCCACGGGGCTGCTGGCGCAGGGGGAGGTGTCAATCACGCTCCCGGGACGCCGGACGGAGAGATCGGGTTGGTCTCCCCCGCCTTCAGCCCTGACCCGACGGGGACGCCATCACCCTCGCCCAGGGATCTACATGCTGTCTCAAGGTCCGACAGGTTCGGCACCGGGCACCGCCTCGGTATACAAAATGCGCCTGCGGGCGGACCCTCACAGATCACAGATCACGACAAGTTCCCTGATAACTGCCCGCCGGCGCCTGGCCGATTGACGCCAGCACGTGGCGTTGCGACCGCTCGCTGCGGTATGTCAGATCCAAGCTTCAGCGGCCGGCCAACTTCAAGGGAGGTGCGGCGGCCGAGCAGCCCCCCCGCCCTCCTCGATCCCGATCCAGTCGTCTTCGGGCAGATCGTCACCGCAGATCTCCAGCGCCAAATCGATCTCCTCGCTGCAGCCTTGCCCCAGTACACCGTCGAGCCGGTTCAGGCGCCGTCCGACTTTGTGGTCACAGCGCCGCCGGGCCCGCTGGGCCTCAGATTCTTAGACGATGGAGGCGCAGGTGGCATCTTGTGCAAGGCTGTGCAAGACAGCGTGCTCGAGCAAAAGCTAACCGCGGCGACGGCAGCGCGATCAGAGACCAGAGCTGCTGCATATGTCGTTGGAAACCGCGGTGGAAACGTGGTGCTCATGAAGGTCGACGACACCGACGTGGCCACGCTCAGTCGCGATGGGGTTATCCAGTTGCTCCAGCAGAGCGCAGGTAGGGTGCGCACCCTCGCCTTCCGCGCCAGCGACGAGGATGTTCGGCGGGCTGCGCGCACTCTGCGACTCACCCACCGTAACAATGTGAGCACACGTGAGGATGCGGGACTTTGCTGCGACTGCGAATATGGCTTGCGGGACCACGTTTGGGAGGTGGAGCTCGGTCCTGCCAACTGGATCGTGACGCACGTGTGTTCAATCCGTATCCAATGGAACGACGAGCTCAGACAGGAGCGCATGGACGTGCAGTCGACCGTCACCTCGCTCAGGAACCAGCACTATTCTGCAGAGGTCGTGGTCGGCTCGGTGCCCGTTGTCACACCCGCGGTACCGCAGCAAGTGATGCAGCGCGAGGAGGCAGGCATCGCTGCGAAGCTCGAAAGGCTCGCCGAGCTCAAGCAGAGCGGTGCTTTGACGGATGAGGAATTCCGAGCCGCCAAGGCCAGGGCTCTCCTGGAATGAGGACCATCCACCCTTTTCACAGGGAAGGTTGGAACGCACACGGGGTCTTGGACAGCTTGGTCAAGGAGGGCCCGGACGCAGCCCCCACAAGAGGTACGGCTTTACGTATCATGCTTGGGGATGGGCTTTATACACGGCTTTTGCAACACCATCGGCACGGACTTCGTCTCTTGTCTTTCTTGAAAATAGTGGATGAAAGCGGAAGAACCACTCCCTCGTCTAGATTGGAGCTCTCTCTCTCGCTCCCCTCCCTCTAAAATGCGCGTGCTCAAAGTCAGCCAGTGCGCGCAACGGTCGCACGCGTGCGGGGTGCGTTTGATGCCCCACGCGCCACGGGCTGTGGGCGCGGCCTCCTGCGCCCTGGAGGCTCCCTCCCTCGAGAGCTGCGGTCGCGCCCCTGCACACCCAGCGACGCGCCGAGCCGCCCTCTCGAGCCCCTCGAGCCCCTCACCCCTCGAGTGTGAGCCGATTCATCCCCCGCTGAATCATGTCGTCCCGCTGCTCGACCGCCGCATCAATCAGCACCTGAAGGAGGGCTCCGAGAGGCGGGTCTCAACAGGGTCGACGGACGGCCCAGCTGCCGCAGTGGAGGAGGGCCTGCAGCCGCTGCACCACCGCAAGCATGTCGGTCTCACTCTGGGCCCAGCACTTGAACTCGCCTGCGGACATTTCGCGGACTATTTGGGTCGCGTGCCGGTCTCGGTGCCGCACCGGCACTGGTTGCCGATGCTTGTGGGGATGGAGGGGGCGGAGGTCGATATGCGCCTCGGCGAATCTCGGCGAATCTCGGCGAACCTCGGCGAATCTCGGCGAATCTCGGCTAGACTCGCCGAGCGGCTTCTCCTTCTCCTCGTGCCACACACGGAACACCTCTGCCTTGTCCTGTGAAGTAATCGTCATGCGTTAGCGCTAACGAAAGAGCGAATGCCGGCGCGGAGCGGCTCTGGCGTGTCCCTCTCGCTCTTGTCGCGCTCGGGCTTCTTTGCGAACGAAGCGTGCGTCTCGGGCGGGGTCGTGTTCGCAGCGGCGACGCGCAACGCGGCGAGCGGCCACAGCGCCTGTTCGATTCGTTCCTTCGATTCGTTTTCTTCGAGCGGCCACAGCGCCTCACCGGCGAAGTAGAGATGTGAGCCGAGGTGCGCCGAGGTGCACTTAGGTGCGCACGCCGAAGTGCACTCGCTGAGGTGCGGCCGAGATGCGGCCGAAGTGCGGCCGAAGTGCGCCGAGGTGCGCCGAGGTGCGCTGAGGTGCGCTGAGGTGCGCTGAGGTGCGCTGAGGTGCGCTGGGGTGGTCAGAGAGTCGCCGAGAGTCGCCGAGATTGCGTCAGGGCGCCTTCTTGGCGAAGCCCTCTCCCTTTGGCCGGCAGACAAGCAGGTAGTCGGAGAAGACGTACCACTTGTACGTCGCCTGTTCGCTGACAGCCGTCCGTCAGCTTCGGGCTGATGGTGGAGCGAGGGCGTGCCCACTCGAGCCGCGGCCCTGCGGCCCCACGCGTTCAGCGTCGAGGCCGTAGGTGACTTCATGTCGACGAGCGCCTGAGGGAGCGAGGGAGTGAGGGGTGAGGGGTGACGAGGTGAGCCGTGGGAGGCGGCATGCCGACGAGCGCCTCGAGGTGGAGGAGCCTGCCCGCCTGCGGGACATGTCCCGGACATGTCATGGACATGTGCTGGACATGTCGAGGTGGAGGAGCCTGCCCGCCTGCGGGACATGTCCCGCACGTGTGGGGGGGCGGGGGGGGGGGGGGGTCCTGTGTGGGGGGGGGGACCTGGACCTGGTCCGGACCTCTCACCTCCCGCAGTGATCGTGGACTGTGCACTGCGTGGCGGGCTGCACAATCTCGGCCACTCTCCCGCCGGCCTCCCGCACATTGTCTCGCTGGAGCTCGGGCGCCTGCATGAGGCGGACTAGCCCCCTATGACTTGGCTGTATGCCCGCCGTGCTATCGTGCGAGAAGGCCTGGACCTAGATCCGGAAGCACACGTAATACTCACTCACATCCTGAGGGGCGGCGAGCGCCGCTCACGCCAGCCGGCACGCGCCGCTGCAGCGGGCAGAGGAGCAGGCGGAGGAGGCGGACGGGCGGCGGTGCGAGGCGAGGGCGCGCTGAAGACAGCTGCGGCGGCGCGGGCGGCGGAGGAGGCGGAGGCGGCGGCGCGGGCAAGGGAGGAGGCAGAGGTGAGGGCGAGGGAGGAGGCAGAGGTGAGGGCGAGGGAGGAGGCAGAGGTGAGGGCGAGGGAGGAGGCAGAGGTGAGGGCGAGGGAGGAGGCAGAGGTGAGGGCGAGGGAGGAGGCAGAGGTGAGGGCGAGGGAGGAGGCAGAGGTGAGGGCGAGGGAGGAGGCAGAGGTGAGGGCGAGGGAGGAGGCCTCCATCTGCCGTACCCGCTCGTTGACCTCCGAGTTGAGCTCCTGCGGGCGCCTCGGGGAAGTGTCTCGGAAGTGCCCCAGGGAAGCGCCCCCCCTCCCGCCACCTCCCAAAACGCGGCGCCTGCGCGAGGGGCGTACACGTGGGTGTGGGCACCGCTGCCGCTGCCAGACATGTCGCCTGTCCCGCCGCTAGAAGCTACGGCGCGGGGCGTGGGATGTCGCCGCTGTCACCGCTAGTACCCGCGAGTGGCGCAGTCCTACCACCGCTGCTACCCCGCGAGTGGCGCGGCGCCTGCAGCGCCGCGAAGGCGCTCTCGCACGTGGTCCGCATCTGCGACTCTGGCTGGCTGCTCTTCTTCATCCGCTCGAGCAGCAGCGGGTACCTAGACAAAGACACCCTCCGTATGCTGCTTGTGTGTTTTCTTTTTCGAGGCTCGAGCAGCGGGTACCTATCCATTGAGTAAAAGAAATCGCGCATGGAGTACCTTCGAGCGATTTCTTTTATTCGAGCAGCAGCGGGTACCTATCCATCGCAAACGGGGCGGCGCTACTCAGAGTCGAGACAGGACCAACGCCTCGACGACGACGAGGAAGAGGAGGAGGTGGGCTCGGAGGTGGGGGGCTGGGGGGTGGAGGGCTCGGGGGCGGGGAGGGAGCGGCAGCGGGCAAACCTATTCCGCCGTCTCACGAGCAGCTTCAGGGCGGACAGTGTCACGAGGAGGAGCGAGGGGCGCTCGGGCGGCAGCGGGTACACGCAGAGCCGCTGCACAGGCCGGAAGAGCAGCGCCTAGCCGGGCAGGCGGCGATTTCTTTTCCGGGCCGCGTTTCTTTTTCTGGAAGAGCAACGCCTAGGGGGCGGGGGGGCAGGAAGCTTCGCGGAAACGTCTCACACACCACGCTGCAGACGCTGCGCTGCAAGGAGCAGCGCCTGCAGCTGGGCGCCTCCTCGGGATCATCTCGGGTGATCTCGGGTGCTCTAGGGTGGTCTAGGGCGATCTCGGATCATCTCGGGGGACATCTCGGGTGGTCTAGGGAGATCTAGGGAGATCTCGGGATGTCTCGGGTGATCTCGGGAGATCTCGGGAGATCTCGCCTGCAGCTTGACGCCGCGCGCCTCCTCCGCCTACAGGCAGATTCCGAGAAGCTTCGCCGAGGGCTCGCTCCGCTGCCTGGCCTCCTCCGGGCAGTCTCAGGCCATCTCGGGTCCTCTCGGGCCATCTCGGGTCACCTCGGGCCCTCTCGGGCCCTCTCTGGAAATCTCGTGCAATCCAGGGCAAACGGGTCCCCTCCGCCTCGACGAGGGCGGTCGCCGCGCCGCTGTGCTCCGCCGCCACCTTGCAGAGCGCCTCGGCCACGTTCGGGTAGTTGCAGCAGTACGTGGCGTACATCCGAAAGTAGCTACGGGGGGGGCAGCTCCGGGAAGGGTCGGGGAAGGGTCCGAGGGCAGGGCGACACGCCGCGGAGATCTGGAAGCACGGCAGAAGCTTTGAGAAGGCGTCGACGCACGCCTGGCCCGGGGCGACTCGAGGTGAACAGAGATGCCCCGAGATGAACAGAGATGAAAAGAGATAACCCGCGATGACCCTAGATGGCCCGAGAGGACCCGAGAGGACCCGAGATGGCCCGAGATGAAACGAGAAGGCGCCGAAAGCCAGAGCTGTGGTGGAGGTGGCGCCGGAAGCTATGCCAGAGGCTGTGCCAGGGCTCCGCCTCTGAAGTGTCGTGTGCTGTCTCGGAGCGGTCTCGGAGCGGTCTCGGAGCTGTCTCGGAGCGGTCTCGGAGCGGTCTCGGAGCGGTCTCGGAAATGTGCGTGGCGGCGAGGGCGGCGACCGCCAGGCCAGAGTCGGAGGCGGTCTCGGGACGGTCGTGGAACTGTCTCGGAAGTGTCTCGGAAGTGTCTGGCTCGCCTGGCCGGAGTCGGAGGCGGTCTCGGAGGTCGCCCTCTCGAGATCGGTGCCGAGGCCTTGGTGTAGGCCTTGGAGCTGCGGCAGGTTCGAAAAGATGGCGTAGTGCAGCTGCGGCGGCAGCAGCGGCCGGAGCGGCTCGAGAAAGGAAACCGCGACCGACTGCAGGTCGGCCAGGTAGCGCGCCTCGGTCGACACAAACTCGGAGACGCAGGTGCTGAGCTCGCGCACTTTCTTGTCCCGCGCCGCCTCCTCCAGCGCCGCCTTGGCCTCCTCCTGCGCCTCGAGCACCTCTGCAATCTGCTGCAGCGGAGCGGCCGCGTGCCGCGCCGAATTCTGAGGCGCGTCCGACCGGAGCGAACTGCGGTCAGAGATTTGACGCATCTCAACCTTGGGCACGTGAGCCTCGCCGACGGTCCGCTCGTCGTTCGGCGCCATGTCCGTCATGGGATGGGCGAGCCGCCTTCCGTCCAGAATGCCGAAATAAGAATCCGCACTGGTGTAGTACAGTGTGGTGGGTACGTGCGGGGAGTACAGTGTTGTGTGTTCGCTAGCTCCGAGTAGAGAGGGCGTTCTGCTGCTAGGGGAAACCTGGAGCGCGGAGCTAACCCTCGGAGACCCGTGTTTAATTTACGGCCCTTTCCCTGCGAACGCGCACCCCCAGGGCTAGACGCACGGACACACACAGAGAGAGAGGGACACAGACAACAGCGAGCGCGCACACCCCGCCCCGTTCGCGCAGCGCATGCACATGCATCACACAGCACACACACCAGGCACGCTCGGACTCGACGGCCTGCGATGGCGATCACGTGATAAAAAGAATTCAACAACCACTCCCACTCACAACAAAAGCACGGAACGCGAGAGGGAAAACGAGAAAAGAATGTTTCCATCCTTCCTTCGCGCGCGCTTGAACGGGCAGTTCTCAAGACATTGCACACAGGAGTGCCGGCGCGAGAGTTCTCAAGAGACGAGCCTCTCTCAAAAAGCACACGGGGCACGACGAGCGCGGTGACTGCACACAGAAGAGAGCCTTGAAAAGTCTCCTATTCCTAAGCCTTCAACCAAAAAGAAAGACGCTTGCTCAGATCGGACTCGACGGCCTGCGATGGCGATCACGTGATAAAAAGAATATTACAATCACTCCCTCTCACAACACACGGCACGGAAAACGCGAGAGGAAAACCGAGAAAAAGAATTTTGCCTTGGCGCGCTTGAACAACAACCACACGAGCACACGGTGTTCGGCTCTCTTGTCTCTCTGTCTCTCTCGTCTCTCGTCTCGGTCTCGTTGCCTCCCTCGCCTCCGCCACGTTGCCACCGTGCCACCCCGGCCTCGCCGCCGCCGGCCTCACCGCCGCCGCCCAGTCTCTGTTGAGCCCGCCGCCACCGCCTCCGCCGCACACACCTGCGCCCTTGTCCCTCCAGGCACGCCACCGCTGCGCGTCGACATGGCGTCGGACCTCAAGGATGTCACCAACAAGATGGCGGCAGTCAACGTCGGAGACGGCAAGGCGGGCGAGAAGAGCACCGCCGCTTCGGTGCGTGCGCCTCCCAACAAAATCCGCCGCCCTCGCCGCCGCGCCGTATGCAGCGCGCGCCCTCTCCGCCTCCCGTTGTCGCCATCTGCACTCGCGCCGCGGCGCCGGCAGCCGCGCAGCCCGCGCACACGCCGCAACACGCGGCGGCGCCCCTCTCTCGCAGGGCTCCCGGACGCCGAAGAAGCAGTGGTCGCTCAACGACTTTGACATCGGCAAGCCGCTGGGCAACGGCAAGTTCGGCAAGGTGTACCTCGCGCGCGAGAAGAAGACGCACTTCATCGTCGCGCTCAAGGCGCCCGAGAGGGTCCGAGAGGGTCCGAGAGTGTCCGAGGTTGCTGCACTTGCTGCAACCACATGGGCAGGGACCGGGCGGCCGCCAGCCCCCTCCCCGCCGGCCGGAGGAACCGCCCACGGCCGCCGGGCCGCCCTCACCCCATTGCACCGCATTTTCCTTGTCCAAGTTTTTGGCCCCCCCCCCCCCCCCCCCCCGCCCCCCCCTTTCCACACACACATGCACGCACAATCCCCCCACACCTCACTCCCGCCACCCCAACCGACTCTGACCCCACCCCGCCGCCGCCGCAGCACGTGATTCACCGCGACATCAAGCCCGAGAACTTGCTGCTCGACCTCAAGGGCGAGCTCAAGATCGCCGACTTTGGGCGCGATCCAGCCGAGACGCAGCCGAGACGCAGCCGAGACGCAGCCGAGACGCAGCCGAGACGCAGCCGAGACGCAGCCGAGACGCAGCCGAGACGCAGCCGAGACGCAGAGCTCAAGATCGCCGACTGATTTGGCCGGCGATGCCCCCCCTCAATCTCCCCCAAATCTCCCGAGATGGACGAGCCGCGGACGTGCCTGCACAGGCGTAGTCGGCAGCCTTCCTTCCAAGAGTTGACCCTCCCACCCACGCCCCAACCTCCGCAGGTGGTCGGTGCATGCGCCGAACTCGCGGCGCACAACGATGTGCGTCCTGCCACCGCTCCCCCGCACCGCTCCCCCGCACCGCTCCCCCGCACCGCACCGCTGCACCGCACCGCTGCACCGCTGCACCGCTGCCCCGAACCTCGCCCCCGCCCCCTCGCCGCCCCCTCGCTGCCCCCCTCGCCCTCGCTGCCGCCTTCGCCCTCGCTGCCGCCTTCGCCCTCGCTGCCGCCCTCGCCCTCGCCGCCCGAGGCGTGGCCCGAGGTGGCTCGAGCTCGCAATCTCCCCCGATCTCCCGGCGCAGGTGCGGCACGCTCGACTACCTGCCGCCCGAGATGGTGGAGGGCAAGGCGCACAACCAGACGGTGGACGTGTGGTCGCTCGGCGCGCCGCTAGCCGAGAGACCGCCTCGAGAGGCTGCTGAGACACCGCCTCGAGAGGCAGCCGAGACGCAGCCGAGACGCAGCAGCCGAGACGCAGCAGCCGCGGGGCAGCGCAGTGGCGGCCGTAGGCTGTGCAATGTCGTTCAGACGCACACGCGAGCGTCTTGCCTGGACAGCACTTGCCCTGCCCTGTGTCGATCTTGCCCCCCCTCCCCCCCCCCCTCTCGACCTCTCGACCTTCTCCGACCGTCCCCCTCTCCCGCCGCCCCAGGCGTGCTCATGTACGAGTTCCTAATTAACTATTAATTAACTACTAAATTAGGCGTGCTCATGTACGAGTTCCTCGTCGGCTCGCCGCCCTTCGAGGCGCAGGGCCACCAGGAGACGTACAAGAAGATCTCGCGCGTCGACATGCAGTGCGCTTTTAGACGCGGCCGAGATGCAGTCGAGATGCAGTCGAGATGCAGTCGAGATCGCCGAAGCAAGAAATACCCGCCTCTCACGCGCGCTACTGTCGGGCACACAGTGCAGACCACACTTGCCGGCCGCCGCCGCCGCCGCCGCCGCCGTTGCGTTCCTCTCCGCCGCCGCCGCCGCAACCCTCACCGCCGCCGTCGGCGCCGCCGTTGCGGCAACCGGCACGCATGCCTCCTCCGCACGGCTGAACCCCCCCCCCCCCCCCGGGTCTTCTGCCAGGTTCCCTGAGCACGTCTCCCCGCTCGCGCGCGACCTGATGACCAAGCTGCTCGTCAAGGAGCCGTCGCAGCGGCTGGCGCTGGGCGAGGTGCAAAACCACCCGTGGATCAAGGCGAACTGCGGCGAGTAGACCGCAGCGGGCAGCGGGCAGCCGCGCCCGCACAGCAGCCGCGCCCGCAGGGCAGTTTGGACGCCCAGGCGGCGGCGTGCGTCGCCGCTGTGGGTTGGCGGCGGGCCGAGGGTGTCCGTCTCTATTGAGCGCTCTCGCCACACGCGAGAGTGGTGGCGCGGGCGTCAAGTCGCCAGCTTCACCCCTTGTTTGGCGGGGTCTTTACCGGCATGTGTCTGTATGTGTATCTGCTCCGACGCCAGCTCGACGCCGAGCGGTGGAGAGCTCCTCTGTGTAAGCGGGAGAGACGCGTGGAGAGAGGGGGATTGCGATTTGCGTGGGGGCTTCGTCACTCCTGAGCTGCGCCTCCGCCACTGTAACAATCAACGAGTCAGATCCTGTCACTGGACACTGCTCACGCACTCGTGTCGGTTTACGTAAAGGGGTAAACCGTCCGGGTACCCGAGACGGGCGATTTTACTATAACTAGTAATGGCTAATGCTACTGTAACGAGTAACGTACTCAAACGTAACTCGTAAGGCTAAAAGTGGGAGTAACAAAGCTAACAACTTTTTACTTATAAAGTGCGAGGAGCACGAGCAGGAGCGACGCCACTCGCCAGGGCCAGGGCCAGCTAGAGAGCGGCTGTTTAACGTTGGGAGCTGAACAGTGTTGCTAGTGTTAACAGTAACGCGCAACTGTTAGGGGTTACTTAGGCCCAAAGTTAATGTTAAACAGCTCTAGGGCCAGCGAGCTCGGCGCACGGCGGCGGCCGACCCAGGCAAAAGAAGAAAACGAGGGCCGTGTTGCCTGCGGGGCAAAGAGAAGAAGAAAGTGCGCGCGCGGAGGCAATGGAGAAAAACTTGGCTGCACACCCAGAGCAGACGCATACACACAAACAACACAAACATGGCGTTCAAGACAGAACCGCGTTGAGTGCAAGCACTTGCAAGCGTGCACCTTATTATCGAGCCTGGGCGCATGCCGCTCACAGCTCCACATGCTTTCGGGTGTGCCGACCATGGAGATCGGCACAATCGTCGATGCCGAGGTGCTGAAGAGCCGCTTGCGATTTCGACGACTCAAGCCAGCACGGGCTGGAAGCGAGGGAGCAGAGCGCGACGGCTGCGCCGCTTGCCATAATCTGCGGGCGGATGCTCGTCGATAGTGCCAGGTTCTTAAGTGCACCTGCCGCCGCCCATGCCGCAATGCCGGGTGCAAGACGGTCGCTGCGGGTTGCGACGCTCGGTAGTACGCGTCCTCGCCCCGGCAGCGTCTCGCCCGCAAGGGCGGCGAGAGCCTGAACCAAGCCTGGCACCGCGCCAATGCGCTGCCGCGCCACCTCAGCGTCCACGACAAGTGCCTCCTGCACTGTCAGCTGCCGGCCGTCCCTGCGCCACGAGCAGCGGCCGTCTCTGGTGGCGCAATACGAGGCTGCCATATTTTGGAGCGCCGCGGCCGCCCACATTTTTGCTCGTGAAGGCGCATGTGCGGCGAGTAGCGGCAAGGCCAGCACCTCTGGTGCCCCGGCCTCGAGTAGCGCCCCATGGTTGGCGCGCGAATTGAATGCAAGGATCCAGAGCGCCTCTGCCGCCTCCTCCGCTGCCCGCCACGAGGGCGAGGACGCCGTGGAGTTGCAGCTCACAGACTCGCCCACGAGCGAAACGAGGCTGGCCAGCACGTCGGGCACCCTGCCAATATGCGCGCGGTTTTCGGGATTGTCCGTAGTGAGCAAGTGGACAGCTTCTGCGGCGGTGGCGTGCGATGCCTGCTCGGCCAAGTCGTCGCAGTCGCACACAGCGGTTGTGTTTGTGTCGACGATGTCCTGCAGCACTGCAGGCAGAAGCTCCTGCACCGCGCTCTCTCGCTGGCGTGCAGCCGTTGTAGCACTTGGTGACGGGCGCACCAGGCGCTCGTCCCCGGCGCGCAGGTAGTGAACCAGTTCGACTGGCGATTGGATGCTGGCGGTGCGGGCTAGCGCAGCCGCATCGACGCGGGAGAGGATGGCAGTCATGGCCGCAATGACTCCGCCGCAGCACCGCACGCGCGAGCCCCCGGTCGGATGTGAATCCATGCGCGGGCTGCGCGTTGTTGCTGCGGTTACGCTGGCGCCTCTGCTACTTTCCGCGGGCTGGGAGGGACGCACGACACCCGCGCGCGAGTGTCGGATCTCGGATCTTTATTGGCAGGGTACTCTCTCGGCAAGGCTCCTAGCCTGTAGGGACGGTTCAGTAGCCCTGCATGTTTTTGCGCTGTCTCTAGCGAACCACGCGTGGTTTCTTTCTTTTCTTTGAAGGCGAACCACAGTCCACACAAAAGAGATAGCGCGGTATTACACCATGGTACATATGCCCACCCATCTATCGACACCGACAACGCGTCTCCGGATCCTCCAGCGTCTTCCGCGTCTGTGGCGCAGGGGCTCACCACTCTCGCGCCCGCGCAGGCGTGGTCTCTTCTTGCGCTGCGCTCTTCACTAAGCGGCACGCTCGACGAAGACACCCTTCAAAAGTAGAGCCCGGACAGGATCGCGTTGATGCCGACCACCCACATCTCCTTGGCCTCGGCCGTCGGCGCCATCAGAGTCAGCGTGCGCGACTCGAGCGTCACCTGAGGGAAAGGTGAGGGAAGGGAAGGGAAAATTCTCACCGCTGCTGCAGCGCGGGGCGGGGGTGGGCTGTCTCCGCATACAAGAGGCATTGAAGGCGCAAAAGGCCCGGTGCGCGTGAGTGACGAGGTGTGTGTGCGTGTCAGTCAGGAGGGGGGGGGGGGGAAGCGTTGTCACGCCTCGAAGCAGCGCGCTCGCTCGGCCGCGTCGAGGTGCGCAACGTGGCGGCGGCACTCGTCCGCCCTCACCAGCTGGCCCTCGCGCCGGCGCGAGGCCTGGCGGGTCGAGGCGGCGTCCGCAGCCCACGCGAGGGTGCCGCACCTAAAGGTGCAAGGGAAGGTAACTGAAGGCCGGCACGAATTGAACTTTGTGAGAGCACGGCATGGTCAAGGTGTCGTCGGCGCATCGCGCGAATCCGGAGTGCAATCCGCAGCTGCGGGACAAAGCCGGACCCGTGTCTTCCAGAGAGGGAGGGTGGGGCTGGTCTCGAGTGCCATCTGTGGACATCTCGAATGCAGGGGGTCTGCACTCTTCCGCACTCCCTCTCTCTTCCGCATCTAGACAGCCGCACGTGCCCAGCACGCGGACATGGCGCTTGCGCCTACTCTCGGGGTATCTCGGGTGATCTCGGGCCATCTCGCCCAGCACGCGGAGACGTGGCGCTTGCGCCGGCCGCGGCTCCCGCAGAACTTGACCATCGCGTCTCCCTGCACGACCCGCGAGGCGGCGGCGAGCTTGACGCGGAGCCGCGCGTGCTCCTCCTCGGTCAGCGCCTCGTCGCGGCCCGCCGGCGCGAGGGGCGGCTGCGGGATGGAGTAGCCCCTCAGCCGAGGGCCCTGCCCGCAGGAGCCGCCGCCGTCGACGGCGCCCTCCGGCTCCGCGCCTTCCGGCTCCGCGCCCTCTAGCTGGCTGCGGAGGCTGATCGATGCGGGCGCGGGCGGCGTAGCGCCGATGGCGCCGGCGCCGGCGGTGCTCGCCGCATCGTCCGCCGCCTTCTCGTTTGCCGCGTCGTCTGCTGCTCCGAGGAGCGCCGCCTCGAGGCGCGCCTGCACGAGGGCGAGGGGTGTGCGGGGGTGGCGTTCGACTGGAGTTGGGATGCAAGGGGCGAGAGGGCGAGAGGGCGAGATATGAGGGGGGGGGGGGGCGAGCGAGGAGAGCGAGAGAGGGAGAGAGAGGCGCGCCTTGAACGCTTGAAGCTCATCGAGTGATGGCTCAGCCTTGGCGTGCCGCTTCGGTGCGCCGAGCCTGCCGCCGCCGCCCGCAGCGGCGGCGCCCTCCGTACCAGCGGCGACGAGTACGCGCACCGAGCCGTCCTCGCGGAGGGAGAGCTCAACCTACAGAAAGGCGCAGGGGAGCTTCCTGAAAGGCTCCTAGAAGGCTCCGCGTGGCTGGCCTCCGGAGGCGGAACTTGAGACCTTGGCATGCGGCTGCTCCTTGCTGGCCGGCGCCGAGGCTGCCTTCTTGGCCTCCTTGGGCGCAGCAGCTCCGCCGGCTGGCGGCTTGACGGCTGAGCCCTGGAGGAGGGCGAGGCCGGACTTCTTGCGCGGCGGTGGCGGTGCCGTCTTGGCAGCCAGGAGCGGCGTCGCCGTCGCCTCCGCCTCCGCCTCCGCCTCCGCCTCCGCCTCCGCCCCCGCCTCCGCCTCCGCCTCCGGCTCGCCCTTCTCTGCCGATGGAGGGAGGAGCACGTTGATCGGGCCGCACACAGCGGCACCCTCCGCCTCGGTGCCGCCCTCCCCTGCTGGAGCGCCGCGAGCCTCCCCCTCCGAAGCCAGGCTGCCGGCCGGCTCTGCCCCGGCGGCTGCCGAGCCCGCCAGCGCGTCCGCCTGCTGCAAGATGAGCTCGGCGGCGGTCGAGTCGTTGACGAGCATGTCGGCGGTCGCCTATGGGGAAGGCTCCGAGGCGGTCCATACGAAGCCTCCCAGAGGAGAGTCGCTGGACCTGCGAGGTCGCCGTCTCGGTCCGCCCCGCCACAGAGAGGGTGAGGGAGAGGCCACGGCGGCGCGTCGAGCCGGTTGCCTGGTCCGGCTGCCGCTCAGCCGGCAGCGCCGCCACCTCCCCCCCCTCCTCCTCCTCGGCGCTCTCGAGGTCGCTCTCCTGGATGGAGTCGAGGATGGGGTCGAGCCGCAGGAGGCGGGCCTCTACCACGTCGCCGTCGGGGCCGTGCGGCTTATACGAGACCTCGAGCCTGCGGGGCAGAGTGCACAGAGGGTGAGGACAGGGCCGTCGAGGACAGGAGCGTCGCTGCATTCTAGTGGGGATGCGTGTGTTCTCCGGGAAGAGCCGTGCTTGCTCGACTAGCCAGAGCCTGTGGCGAGCGTCTACGGCACCGTACCCGGCGAGTGCGCCGGAGAGCACCGCTGCGATCGCGGTCGCCTCGTCTTCGAAGCCCTCGGAGCGGGGCGCGGGGCGTTTGCCGAGAACACACGTGTGCAGGGGCCGGCAGCTCGATACGAGCGGGTCCCCACTCTCCTCGGACGCCTCGCTCGTGGCATCGCTCGCGGTGTCGCTGCCGTACTCCCACTCCTCTGCCTCGGCCGCTGCCGCCTCTGCCTCCTGCTCCACCTCTGCCGCCTCCGCCTCGGTCTCGGTCGCGTCGATGGCCGCAAGGGCCCAGGCGTGCAGCGCTGCGGAGTGCTGCCGCTCCTCCTGTGCCTCCTCCACTGCCTTCACCACCTCCTTCTCTTCCTCCTCCGCGGCCTTCTCCTCCTCCTCCTTCTCTTCCTCCTCCTCCTCTGGGCCGGCGCCCAACGCCTCTGAGGAGTTGAAGGGTGTGGCCGTCGACATCGGCGGGGGCGCGCCCTTCACCCCGTCGTCGAGCTCCGAGCGCCGCGGGCTCTGAGACGGCGAGAAGGACGGGGAGCGGCGGGAGGCTGGGCCTCGCGGCCGCGCCAGCAGCGCCGTCGCGAGCGCGTCCGCCTCGTGGCCCTTGATGTCCTCCTCCAGACCCTCCTCCTCGGCCGCCGCGTCCGATGCCGCCGCTGATACTGCGTCCGACACCGACGCGACCTCCTCGTCGTCGTCCTCGTCCGCCGCCGCCTCAAAGCGGACGTGGCGGCGCTCCGCCGTGTCCGCCCTCTCGCGCGAGAAGCGGGCTCCTCGGCTGGCGGCGTCGGCGTCGCGCGTGGTGCTGCGCAAAGAGATGCCGCCCGACTTGAGCTCGGCGCCGAGGGCGAGCTGGACGTCTCGGGAGGAGACGCTTCGCGGGCTGGCCGCCTCGTCCGACTGCGACGACTCGGAGAGGACCGTGTCGCCCGAGCCGCCCCTGGGCACGCCGCCCTTGGCAAGCCGCTCGATCTGCTGCGACATCTCCGACATGGTTGACGCCAGAGACGCGGCGAGATCCTCCCCGGAGCCGCTTTTCACTGGGCCGGCAGGCTCGGAGCCGCTCTTCACGACAGGCTCGGCAGACGCCGTCACCTCGTTGTCGTCCTCGTCGCCCTCGCCGAGCTCGGCGGTCAAAAGGGAGCCCGTGCTCTCAAAGTGCGTGGCAGCGGGAGGAGCGGTGGTAAGGCCACCGCACCACTCACGCTTGACGTCAGCGTTGGCAGCGCGTAGAGTGAGGCGGACGCTTCCGTCTGCTCCTAGAATTTTGATACCAAGCCCGTCATCGTCGCCACGGATGGACATGGAGTCGAGCGGCAGGATCCGGTCGGGCTTTCCGTCGAGTCGGGGTCCGATCTTCCGCACAGTGAAGCAAGGCCCGCCCTTGATTGTCTCGATTGCGCACCACCTTGCCTGGTACGAGGACGTGAGGCGGCCCGTCTTCACCTCGAGCGGGCCAGATGGCAGGGTGGCCACCATTCGGGCTGGCTGTAGGTCGGAGTGGCCGAACACCGGCTCCCGACGCCGCCGCAATTCACTCACGCCCGGGAAGAAAATTCAGGCAACATCATCCGTGGAGGTACAAGTGTTCGAAGAGAGAGTGGACCTGAGCAACGATATGACTTGGCGGCAAATGATCGCAGTGGGCGTCAGAAGAGTCGTCCTTGCGCGAGGAGAGCTCGATAAACTCGAGGGGCCAAAATATGCCGCGAGGAGGGCAGAGTTGCGAGAGAGATTTTTAGCAATACTTTTTGTGAGTTGCGCCGAAAGGCGGGAGAAGCCGCGAGTAAGGACCGTCCCCTCCCCTCAGCAGAGCGGGCGAGAATCCTAACGGATTCACGCACTGTTTATCTTCATCACCCAAAAACAATTTCAAGCCGCAAGTAAGGATACATTGGCGCGCTATGGAAGGGTCCGTCGGCGTCTCGTGCGTCCACACTGGGAGCTACACGGCACGGGTTGCTGACATCGCACGGGAAGAAAATTCGCGGCGAGAACTATGGTGCGATGAACTAGCGATATGCTGGTGAAGAACAATCTGCTCCGTCGCACGTACGCTAGGCAGAAGCTGACCATACTCGCGTGGCTTTCCCCTTGGGATTCACGCCGTGTGTCCCTACTTTCTACCCTTATAAGTCTCTTGTGCCGGAGCGCCGACCGCTCTTGAAGCCGCGAACCAGCTCATTCAAACTCGGCCGTCCCGCCGCAAATCGTCGGCCTCAGCTCGGGAGCCACGGCGCGCATGGGGGGCAAGGAGCGAGAGCGCGAACCGCCACCGGCCACCGACGACGAGGATGCGACGCAGGCGACCACGCAGGAAGGCGACCACGCAGGAAGGCGTCGTGCGGGAGTCATCCGGCAAGCGCAGCCGACAGCGCAGCATCACCAGATCACCGCTGGGCTTGCAAGCGGTGCAAAGCGAAGGGCCGCCGCCATGTCGCAAGGGGAGCGGGCGGCGAAACGAATGACCGATCAGCGGCGACGCCGCCATGAGCAGCGTGGGAAATCACAGCCAGCACCGATCACCTTTGACGCTGCGGTGGCAAAGGTCGCGTCGGAGGCAGCTCTCGGCGTGGTTGAGGTTGAGGATTTCCGCGACTGGCTGCTCGACCCACAGCAAGCTGGACAGCCGATGGATGGTGAACGCATCACCGAGTGGCGCGCATCCGAAGAGTACGAGCGCGCCCGGCTCGAGTACATGGACGGTTGCATGTGCGAGGGTGCGTGCACGTGCACCTACGATGGCGTAGGCATCGCCCCAGACGTGCCCGGAGTCACCTGCGACTACTTCGACGAGGCGCTTTTGGAGCCGCGCGACAACGACGGGCAGCCATCAGGCGGGGATTGGGTGCCGGAGGGCTGGGATGGCGTCGAGGCCGATCGGCATGAGGAGCGGGCTAAACTCGAGCGTGCCAAGCGGATTGAGCGAGAGAAGCAAGACGACCTCGCACACGCTTCAGAGAAAACTTGGGTGCAAGATTCTGAGACTGGTGATTGGCGCCTCTCCACCCGTGGCAGCATTGCCAACTTTCGCAACCGCCGTGTACAAGCTTACACGGGCGATGCTGCTGAGGCCGATGCATACCTGCGCGACCCGGGTTCAGAGGCGTCACAGGCATGGCTCGAGGCGCAGCTTGCTCCAGGCGGTGGAGGTCCGACACCGCCTGGCTCGCCCGCCTACGGGGATGACTGTTACTTCTCCCACCCGGACTCGCCAGTGAGGCGGCCACGCGAGGAGGCGCCTGACGACAGCGACGCATATGAACTCGACCAGGAACGCGCGCTGGAGTTGCAGGGGCGCATCTCCTTATTTTACGGCCGGCCTTGGGACGAGGTGCCGAGAGGCGCGACGGTGCCAGTGACTTGCGAGTGGACCATCGCATCATTCAGCCGACAGCAGCAAATGCAACGCCCGCTCTCGCCCGCACCGGTAGCCACGGACTTTGACATTGAGGACAAGTTTCTGCAAGAGCGTGCGCGGTGGTTCCGCGACCACGGCGGTGGCGGCGAGCTGGAGGGCTCGACACGAAAGCAGAACGAGGCATTCCAGCGCTTGAAGGACCGCCTCTTTAGCCTTCGCCGCGACCGCGCGAACCCGTCGGGCACACCGCGTGCCTCGCAACGCCGGGCGTCGGGCGCCGGATCAAGCACCGACCCCCTTTGAGACTGTGGATGATGCCTGGGACTCGAGTCTGGTTGGAATGGAACATCGGAAGAGCTTTGCATTAGCCATTACGAATTATTAATTGCGAAAATGTTACGAGCGAGGTAAATCCGATGCCGTTTGCAGCACTCTCGAACGTCGGTGGAGGGGATAAGGGATAAGTGAGTACCTGTGTGTCAGGAGAAAAGGTGGGGACCCGCTGCAGGTCCCACACTAGTATACCAAAACGTCAGGTCCTGGACGCGGCGCGGACACCCGTATCTAGATGCAGCACCGGGCACGTTTTGCTAAGCGTATTTGCGCCTCCGTATTTGCAAATACAGGCGAACAAATAAGGCACGTGAAATCGAGTGTTTTGCTAGCGTATTTGCCGGGTGGCCGTATTTGCGGCGTCAAACCCAACTTTTGCAAGGAGCTCTTTCTCAAAATCTCGTGCACACATGTCCCTAAATTATTCACACATGAATGCTCACATGGCCGGTAGCATATGCGCCACACGCCCGGACCGCTCCTCTGGTCCGGCCGCCGGCCTCCGCGGTGGCGGCGATGTCGCAGCGCCACCCATCGGCCAGCCCTCAGATCGATCGATCAGCGCTCAAAGTCGGCTTCAGATCCGAGAACGCTGCTGGCGCCGGCGCCGATCCCAGCGGCGACGCCAGCAGCTTCCTCTGCTCTCCAACGTGCCGAGAAGCGACGCGGGGGTGCTCGGCCCGCAATGCACGACGAAGGCTCCGCCGGGCGCGCGTCGGCCGGTCCGGTGGCACCGTCTGCGCACGGCTGCCGGCGCCCCGACGACCGCCGTCGCGCCGCCGCTGATGGAGGGGCCCAGCACTCCACGGTGCCAAGGGCACAAACAAGGGCACAACAAACAACAGACGACAGGAATTGACATGTGAGGCTAGAGCAGCTTGCTCCACCTCTAGCAATCTCACCGGCCTGCGAGGCACGGACGAGACCGTATGTGGGGTCTAGTGAGGTGTCTATGGACGCTCTGCCGCCCCTTTACGTAACGGCTGAAAAGAATTTTTGGATGCAGGCGGCGATCCCAAAGTGGGCGGCTGTGGCAAGCAGGGTGCTAGGAACCTCATCGACACCAGCGCTCCTCCCTCGCGGTCAAGACGGAGGTGCCGGAGTTCACATGCCTCTCACTGCCGAGCAAGAGAAGGCGCTGAAGCCGCTGCTTTTAAAGGGCACGCTGGCGACCGACGCCTCCCTCGAGCCCTTCCTCGCGGCTGTCGAACCCGATCTGCTCGCAGCGCTTGGGACCGACCACCCGCTGGCCGGCGACTCGCTACAATTGCGCCGCTTCTTGGTCGCGAGAAAGTTCAAAGTGCCCGCGACGGTCGAGATGATATCAGCGCACGTCAAGTGGCGGGCCGAGAACTTGCCGATCAAGCCTGAGGGCGCCGTCCTCGCTGAGCTCCAGAAGGGCAAGTTCTATTCGTATGGCACCGACGCCGCCGGGCGGCCTCTCGTCCTCATACACAGCGGCAAGTTCGACCCGGCGACGCGAGACCTCGAGGCGAGCGTGCGCTCCGTCTTTTACGAGATCGAGAGGGTGATCGCGCAGCTGCCGCCCGGCCAGGCCCAGTTCGCCGTCTTTTACGACCGTACCGGCTTCTCCATCAAGAAGAACTGGGACTACACGCTGCTCAAGGCGGGTCGACGCCCCGTCCACGCCTCAGACTCACAGCCCTGAGGCTTTACCACCCACCCTCTGCACACCTCACCTCTCTCAGGCGGTATAGTGTAGTAAGCGACTCTTCACGAAGAAGACACACCCACAGCACGCCAGGCTCCTGCTGAGCTTTCTTTCTAGGCGGTCTTCACCCAGCTGAGCAACAACTACCCGGAGCGGCTCGGCGCCGGGCACCGCCCATGCAGATGTGGAACTCAATGCGCACATGTCTTCATTCGCAACCGAGACGACACGCGCCTTGTCAGCTGTGTATTCGAGGCTGTATTCGGCCGCACAACTCGTTTTGTTCATGGCGGTGCTCCGAGTGCGCTGCACGACCGAGTCCGCACTCCCGTGCCCTAACCCATTCGTACACTGCGACGGTATTGCCGATTGGATGCATAAGGTACGTCTACCCGTCCGGCAAGCTCCTCCCGATGCTGTGGGGCCTGGTCAAGCACTTCCTCGACGCGCGCACACGTTCAAAGGTGCACGAGCCGCAGCCGCGCGGCGCCTTGCACTCTACTCATGCCGCGGGAGAGGGGGGGGGGGGGGGGCATGCTTGTGGGTCTGGGCGCCTGTGGAGATCGCGAGAGATTCTCCGCCTGGCCCTTCCCCCTACCGCTGTGCGTGTGGCGAGATGTGTTCCTCACCCCGGCCCCCGATCCCACTATAGGTCAAGTTCATCAATACGCAGGAGGAGCTCCTCAAGAGCCTGCCCGCCGAGTACGCCCCGACCGCCTAGAGACGCGCAGCCAGCTCGCACTCATCAACAGTGCCCTCCCCCCCCCACACTGCTGACGCCGCAGGTACGTCCCGACGGCCTACGGGGGCAGCTCGACCCACGCCTTCGATCCCGCCACCTGCGGGCTGGCGTCGGGCGAGTGATGTGTCGCCGGGGTCCGCGGCGCGCAGCCCTCGGCCCCTGGCCAGTGCCGTCGGCGCTAGTGCGGCAGTGGCCGAGCGCGTGCCAGTCGCAGGCCTCCGCCCTCACTCTTGGTCACACACACACACACACACTCTCTCTCTCTCTGTGATTTAGATCATGGACTGGGAAAAAATTTCGTAAAATTTGTTTGAAAGCCATAAGATATTTCCGCCTGCTTTTTGCATTTTGCGCCGACATGCTCGTCGCGGCGCCCTCGAACGCCGCCGCTCGCCCGCCTGCTGGCCGCGGGGACCCATTCATCAACACGCGCAACCGCACCGATGTCGTCATCGAGCCACTCCAGGCCGAACACCCGACGCTCGCCCTCACGACGCCCGCCTCGCGCAAACCCAACAAGACCGACAAGCCGTCTGCGGACCCGCCGGCCGCGGAGCTCTCCAACGACCTGCCCTCCCCCTTTTGTCCCTTTATGCGCGAGCCCTCGTCCGCGCCTGACCGCGCCCAGCAGCTGTTGTGGGCCGTCCTCCTGCTGCTCGGAGCGTGCGGCGTGCGGCTGTGCGAGTGGTGGCCGCCGCGCTTCGGTGCGGCCTCTGGGCAGAGGAGCAAAGGGCGCCTCGTGCGGTGCCGGACGGGGTTGTGCCGCGGCGCATGGCTTCTCGTCGCGCTGCTCCCGCTCGCATGTGCGCTGTCGCCGTCGCCGCCATCGCCGCCACCGCCCGGCAGTAGCTGCGAGAACGCCATGCCCTTCGATGGGGCGGGTGAAGCCTCCTTCAACGTCTCCATTGCCTCAACCGACGCTGGCCCGGGTCCCGGCGCATACAACTCAACGCAGTGCCAAGGCACAAATTTCAACCCAGACGAGTACGGCAGCGTCTTCTGGCTGCGCCTCACCGACGTGCGCAAGTTTCCCCTCGAGCTGCATACCTGCGCGGCCGACACATTCTGGCACACCGACCTGTCCATCTTCACGGGAAGCTGCGACACGCTCACGCAGGTGGCATGCAACGGCAACGGGGAGGGACTGAGTCGATGCTACGTAGACTACTCTCGCATCACAGGACTGCAGCTCACCGAAGGCGAGCAGTATTGGGTGGTAGTTGGGGACGGGGGCTGGGGCGCAGTTCAGCTTGCGGCTGAATATCAGATCCCATCACCGCCGCCACCGCCATCGCGACCGCCCCCCCCGTCTGCTCCCCCACGACCGCCGGCCGTCCCCGGCTTTGATTTCGCCGCGGCGAGCGAGGACGATCTCCGCTCCCTGATTGTTGGGGCTGCTGCCGACGTCTCAATCTACCTGCCGCCCAGTGTGGACTTCAAACTGAAATACCCGATCGAGTGCGCCTCCAGCATCAAGGTGACCATCGCCAGCAGCGGCGAGGGCGCGACGCTCGACGGTCAGGGATTGACCGGGCTCTTTAAACTCGAGAAGAACTGCAGCCTCACCCTGCTGGGCTTGACCCTCGTCAACGCCGACAACGAGAGAGCGCAGGAGTACGGCGGCGTCGTCTCCGCGTATGACAGCGGTGAAGTCTCACTGACCGACTCCACCGTGAGGAATTGTTCTGCTTCTGTGCGCCGCGTAGAGCTAGCCGCATACAGCAGGGCAGAGATGAAGAGGTCTGGCTGCCTCACCCCGCTCTCTCCTCGCAACCGCAGTCCGGCGGCGTCATCTACGCGCGGAACAGCGGCGCGGTCTCGCTAATGAATACGTCCGTGACGGGCTGCTCTGCTGATGTGCGCCGCGTAGAGCTGACAGCCCGCCCTGCGGCACAGCACAGCAGCGGGCGAGAGATGGAGAGGGCACGTCTACCTCATATCCTAATCCGAAGGTGACGGATTGCTCGGCTGTCTTTGTGCGCCGCGTAGAGCTAGCCGCATCCTGCAGCGGGCGTGAGATATGGAGAGGGCCACGGCAGCCTCACCCCGCTTTCTCCTCGCAACCGCAGCACGGGGGCGTCGTCTACGCGGATCGCAGTGTGGTCTCGATAATCGGCTCCACCGTGACGGGCTGCTCGGCTGTCTCTGTGCGCCGCGTAGAGCTAGCAGCCCGCCCTGCAGCGCCGCACGGCATCGGGGCGAGAAATAGAGGGCCCGTCTGCCTCACCCCGCTCTCTCCTCGCAACCGCAGGACGGCGGCGTCATCTACGCGCGGAACAGCGGCGCGGTCTCGCTAATGAATACGTCCATGACGGGCTGCTCTGCTGATGTGCGCCGCGTAGAGCTGACAGCCCGCCCTGCGGCACAGCACGGCAGCGGGCGAGAGATGGAGAGGGCACGTCTACCTCATATCCTAATCCGAAGGTGACGGATTGCTCGGCTGTCTTTGTGCGCCGCGTAGAGCTAGCCGCATCCCTGCAGCGCTGCAGCCACGGCAGCGGGGCGTGAGATGGAGAGGGCCACGGCAGTCTCACCCCGCTCTCTCCTCGCAACCGCAGGACGGCGGCGTCATCTACGCGAGTAACAGCGGTGCGGTCTCGATAATCGGCTCGGCCGTGACTGGCTGCTCTGCTTCTGTGCGCCGCGTAGAGCTAGCCGCCTCAGAGATAGAGGGGGACACGGCTGCCTCACCCCGCTCTCTCCTCGCAACCGCAGTTCGGCGGCGTCGTCAGGGCGTGGAACAGCGGTGCGGTCTCGATAACCAGGTCGAACGTGACTGGCTGCTCTGCTCGGGTGCGCCGCGTAGAGCTAGCCACCTCCAGTAGCGCCATACGGCAGCGGGGCGTGAGATGGACAACGGCAGTGTGTCTCACCCCGCTTTCTTCTGCAACCGCAGTTCGGCGGCGCTGTGTACGCGAAAGGCGCAGGCGACGTCGAGATCATCGACTCGACGGTCAGAGACTGCTCTGCCGACTATGTGCGCTAGAGCTAGCTGCCCTGCAGTGCCGGACAGCAGCAGGGCGAGAGATGGAGAGGGCACGCCTACCTCATATCCCGCTCTCCCTCCTCGCAACCGCAGCACGGGGGCGTCGTCTACGCGGATCGCAGTGTGGTCTCGATAATCGGCTCCACCGTGATGGGCTGTTCGGCTGTCTCTGTGCGCCGCGTAGAGCTAGCAGCCCGCCCTGCAGCGCCGCACGGCATCGGGGCGAGAAATAGAGGGCCCGTCTGCCTCACCCCGCTCTCTCCTCGCAACCGCAGGACGGGGGCGTCGTCTACGCGAAGGACAGCGGTGCGGTCGTCTCGATAACCGACTCAGACGTGACGGGCTGTTCGGCTCAGTGGGTGCGCCGCGTAGAGCCAGCGGCCGCCCTGCAGCGCTTCTCGGCAGCGAGAGATAATGAGGGCCTCGCCTACCTCACCCCGCTCTCTCCTCGAAACCGCAGTCCGGCGGCGTCGTCTACGCGAGGAACAGCGGTGCGGTCTCGCTCATCGACACGACCGTGACTGGCTGCTCAGCTGGCGAGGTGTGCCTCGCAGAGCTAGCCGCCTCCAGCAACGCCCCACGGCAGCGGGGCGAGAGATAGAGAGGGACACGGCTGGCCTCATCCCATTCTCTCCTCGCAACCGCAGTACGCCGGCGTCGTCTACGCGCTTAACAGCGGTGCGGTCTCGATAATCAGATCGAACGTGACTGGCCGCTCTGCTCGGGTGCGCCGCGTAGAGCTAGCCACCTCCAGTAGCGCCATACGGCAGCGGGGCGTGAGATGAGTAGGCTCAAGACAAGGCAAGGAGAGTCACCGCCGCCTCGCCGCGCCTCCCCCTGGCAGGACGGCGGAGCGACATATACGTGGGACTCCGACCTCAACGTGACCGACTCCACCATCTCCGGCTGCAATGCCAGGCGAGGCGGAGCAGTGTACGTTGCGTCGGGCTCAGCCAGCCTGGCCCGCTCAACCATCTCCAATTGCATCGCCACAGAGTCTGGCGGCGGCCTCTACTCGGCGGGTGGGCGCACCTCCCTTAGCGACGGCACCCTCATCAGCGGCTGCTCTGCTGAGGGTCAGGGGAATTCCGTCTTCCTGCTCGCTGGCGAGGTCTCCTACACCCTCCCCGCCCCGGCCGGCCGCTGGCTGCCAAACGCGCGCTGCGAGGTGTACCGGAAGGCGTGCCCGACGGACTCGCGAGGCAACCCGATCAATGTCTGCCCTGATCACCGCGAACATTGCGCGCTCAACCTCGACGTCAAAAGCGAGTGGCACTGCCAGGACACGACCTTCGTGCAGCCATGCAACTGGAACAACGAGACCGGCGGCGATCCCTCCCTCCTCGGCAAGAGCCTCTACCAGCTGCCGTTGCTGCCCGTCGAGCAGGACTTCCCCTTCGCCTGCGCCGCCGGCCTCCTCGGCTCGGCCGACCCCGAGTACCAGTCGAGCAGCAGCTGCGCCGGCCCCTGCCCCGCTGGCTCCCAGTGCCCCACAGAGGCGACCTATGAGCCGCTGCCCTGCGTTGCTGGCCGCTATTGCCCGAGAGGGACCGCGGACGTCCCCCTTGCTTGCTCCGCCGGGTCGTACTCGAACGCCACAAACCTCACCGCCGGGAGCGAGTGCACCGACGCCGCTCCGGGCCACTTCGCCGCCGCCGGCTCCACCGAGCAGTCGGTGTGCGCCAAGGGGTCGTACACGGACGCGTACGGGCAGGGCGAGTGCACGCCCTGCGCCGGCGGCACGTACCAGAATGAGACCAGCAAGACGGAGTGCAAGGCGTGTTTGCCGGGTCACTACTGCGCTGTTGGCGCGGCGGCGGCGCTTCCTTGCGTTTCCGGCACTTACGCGAACGCGACCGACCTCGCCGACGCGGGCGAGTGCAAGGCCTGCCCCGTCGGCAGCGCGTGCTCCACGGGCAGCATCGATCCGACGCCGTGCTCGCCTGGCACTTTTGCCGAAAACAAGGGGCAGGCCAAGTGCGAGCCTTGCCCTCCCGGCACCTCGTCGAAGGCAGGCAGCTTCGCGTGCGACGAGTGCGAGGCTGGTAAATACGCCGCCAACGCCGGCCAGGGCCTTTGCGTCCCGTGCCCTCACCCCCTCAGCTCGGCCAACGGCAGCACCACCTGCTCGTTTTGCAAGAAAGGCTTCTACCTGTTGACCTCGACTGCCGACCCGAACGACATCTTTAGATCCCCGACCGAGTACTGCAAGTCCTGCCCGACGAACGCTGTCTGCTCAGACAATACCACCCTCTCTTCCCTCGTCCTCCCGCGCGGCTTCTGGCGCGCCAGCCCCTCCTCCGCCGTGCTGACGGAGTGCCGCGACTTCGGGGGCGACAGGGCAGGCGAGGCGCGATGCGCCGGCGGCGAGTCGATAGGCGCCTCTCGCCGCCGGAGGACGGAGGAGGCGGGCTCGGACGCGTACTGCGCTTTGGACTTCAAAGGCCCCGAGTGCCAGCTCTGCGTCGCGGATAATCACTACCTCGACGACGGCGAAAAGTGCAAGGAGTGCGCTCCGCGCGGCGCGGCGGCTGGCCGCATCGTCGGCCTCGTGCTCGGCCTCTGCGCCGCATGCGGCCTCGCGGCGTATTGCTACAGCATGACAGAGTGGCGGGAGAAGCCCTACATCGGCCTTCTGCTCCGCCTTGCAGACCGTGCCGTCTATTGGTGCGTCGCGATCGGCCTCACGGCCAAGACCAAGATACTGTTTGGCTTCTACCAGATTGTCACCGTCTTGTCCACCACCTACTCCACGCGTCTGCCTCCAGAGTACACGGGCTGGACCGACGCAGTAGCCAACGCCGTCTCCATCGACTGGTCGGGCCTTTTCTTGCCACAGCAGTGCCTCGGCTACGGTTTGCGGCTGCTCGGCATCGCCCTCTCGCCCATCGCCCTCATAGCGCTGCTAATGATCGCTGGAGTAAGCCTGCGGCTCCACGGCTGTCGCGCCGCCCCGGCGCCGCACGCGAGGCCGTGGTACGCACTGGCGGCCCTCGGCCTCCTCGACCTCACGCCGGCCGGCCTCGTGCTCGTCTTCTGCTTTGTGCCCTCCATCAGCGCCTCCATCTTCCGCGCGTGGAGTTGTCAGGCGCCTCCAGCTGATGACTGCCGTCGCACACACACCACCCTCAGTCCTCGCGGTCTGCTGCTGATAGGCCTACACCATCTCTCCGCCCGGCGAGTCGCTGCGGCACGTCTCCTACATGCGGCTGGACGCGAGCGTCGAGTGCAGCACCGAGGATCACAAGTCTATCACCGCCCTCGCCATCGGCTTCATCGTCCTCTGGCCCGTCGGTTCGTTGGTCCTCTTCACGGCGCTCCTCTTCGCTTGCTACAAGCCGCTGCAGGCCAAGACGCCGACGGCGCTGACGCGAGCGACCGCCTTCCTTCATCGGGAGTACAAATTGACCTTTTACTGGTGGGAGGCGTTGGAGCTGGCCCGCAAGCTCGTGCTGACGGGCTTCGTGCTGCTGATCCCGGAGGAGAACGCCTTGCTTCGGCTCGTGGTGGCAACGCTCATCTGCTCCTTCTATGTCGCGCTCGTCGCCGCCACCAAGCCGTACAAGCGTGTCGAGGATTCTGTCCTCGCCGTCGCGATGAGCCTCATCCTCCTCCTTTTCTTCCTCGGCGCCAATTGGACCACCATTTTCCTCCGCATCGTGGAGCGCTCCGGAACCGATGACGCGGCCGCCGTATTCGGTTTCAGCAAGCTTAACCCGATCGTCAGCACGATGATCGGCCTCGCCGGAGTCGCGCTCTTGATCTCCCTCGCCGGCGCCGTCGTCGCCGCCCGCCGCACCGCCAAGGTCCCAACGATCCGCCTGGTCTCCACCAAGCAGCCGCCCGAACTCACCCTCGCGCGGGGCCTCGCGTGGCACCTCTTCCTCTCGCACATCTGGTGAATCACAGCTGCGGAGGGAAGAAGAGGGTCCGAACCGCGCATGAGGCACCCCCGACCCCGAATAGGTCGACTGGTCAGGACACCGTCGGAGTCATCAAGAGCGAGCTGCAGCTGCTGCTGCCAGGCATCAAAGTCTTTCTCGACGCGCGCACGCATATCATCGCGCCGCGTACAGGGAGACAGCGCCTCTGACTGCGCGTCCTGTACTCTCATAGGTCGATGATCTCAAAGACATCGGGGCGCTCGAGGAGTACATCCGACGCACGCAAATGATCCTCTTCTTCCTCTCGCAGGGCTACTTCCGCTCACCGGCGCTCGCACGCCGCCCGGCCACGCCTCCCCAAAGCAGCGCGAGCCGCCGAGCCCCCCCTCGACACTCCCCGCGGCTCACCCTTCGCTTGTCCGTGCGCGCCACCAGAACTGCCTCCGAGAGATCCGCGCGTCGCTCGAGCAGAGCAAGCCGCTCGTCCTCGTGCAAGAAGCGGACCCGGCCAAGGGCGGCGGGACGCTGCAGGCGCTGCGCGACGAGTGCCCCGACGAACTGCAGTCGGACATCTTTGACCAGGGCCGCACGCAGACGACGTGGTATCGCATCGAGGAGTTCCAGCGCGTCTCGCTGAAGATCATCGTCGAGGCGCCGTTAGTCTATACACCGCGCCTCTCTCTCTAGTGTCTGGACGTTCCCGCTTTGCACCCGTAGGCGGTGCTCCTCTGCTCGCCCGACTACGTGAGGCAAGACGCCCTCGGCCTCTACGTGCCGGGTGAGCCGCGCACCCACTCGTTCGCCCTTGCGAAGCCCGTGACGCTCTGGGCCTCGCCGGCCAACGCGGGCGCACTGGAGCTGGCCAACGAGCTCGCCGACGCCTTTGCCAGCCTCGCCGTCTCCACGGCCGAGGACCGCGGCTCTGCTACAGCTTCTCACCGCCGCTCCAGTATCATGCGCCGCTCGGCGCCGCGCCGCGCCGGCGACGCGACGCACATGCTGCTCTACCTCAACGAGGACACCTGGTCGGACGAGAGGCTGGCCGAGCAGGTCAGGCAGGCGCGCGAGGACAGGCTGCCGATCGTGATGGCGCACGAGAACGACCCCGACAAGGGCGGCGTGCCCTTCTCGCGCTTCTTTGAGACCACGCCGCAGGAGAGCGATTCTCTCAGTGGCGCGGCCATCCCGCCGTGTCCCATGCCCTCCACCTCTCCTTCCAATGCACCGCAGGAGCTCATCGCCGGAGGCCTCTACAAGGACCTGGCGAAATCGTGCTACCCTGGGCGCCACCACGAGGCGCGCGGCGGCGGTGGGCGTTCTCCGCGCCGGTTTCCCCCGCGTGACGCCCGCGCGAGCCCCTCCGTAGGTGTCGCTGGTGCTCGTGGCTAAGGGCCTCGGCGCGACTCCGGCCCGGGCAAGGGTGGACCTCCGCCGTTGGAAGAGGCTCGTCTGCCGCGCCGTTGGCGGCCTCTTCGAACGGACGGTCCGCGGCGGCGGCGGCGACGACGGTGGCGACGTCGGCCACGAGACATCGGTGGGGCAGCAATCCGTCTAGCTATAATAATTCACGTATTGCGGTGTCAGCGGTCTCGCGGTCTGTGTTCGGCTGTGGACTTAGGGTGCGCTTTGCCGTCAGCGCCTGTGTCGAGCCAGTCTGCTGTGTGAGAGAGAATTGTCCTTAAATTCTTAGGCGGCTCCCGCGGGGTACCTGTGCTAGTGCCAGTGCGCGCCAGTAAAGAAAAGAAAGAAAGAAAACAGACAACCCAAGGGAGGGATGGGAGGACGGCACGCCGCCACGAAAATTCTTCTAGAGAAAATTCTTTTTCTGGCTTGACTGCAATCCCGCGCTCGCACACGACGAGCTGCCCTCGCGCGAGCTCCCGACCGTCACGTCGCACGCACGAGCATGCCCTCGCTCCTCCTGCCCAACGCTCAGCCGGTGCTCACCGCTCTCGCCATCCTCGCCCTCACCGCCACTTGCCGCTTTGGCTTTGCCGTCGTGACTCGGCTCCTCGGCACCTCCAAGTTGCTGCTCTGGCCGGCAGCCGGTGCGATGGCCGCTCTACCCTTTGTGCTCCGCGATCCGCTCCTCGCGTGGTGGGGAGGCACGTACGCCGACGCGCAGCTCGGCTCCTTCCTCGCAGCGACCGCCTTCGCTTGGTGCTTCTTCCGCGCCATCGAGCGGAGCGTGGGCACCACGCCGGTCGGCGCCGCCGCCAGCCTCGCCGAGTGGATCTTCTACATGTCGGCCGACGTCGACCCGCGCTACAGGGACGGTCGGCCGCTGCGGCCGCCGCCCGGCAAGCTGCAGTCTCAGCTCGCCAAGCTCTGCGCGACTTACGCGGCCACTGCGGCCTTTGTCAGCGCGATTGAGCCGTTTGGGTTTCGGCCTACCGCGGCGGTCTGCGAGGCGTGCGGCGTGAGCGGGCCGCTCGCCGCTGCTCTGGTGCGCGTTGGCGACAACTTGAGCGGTGCCGCCTTCCGCTCCTCTGCCGCCTCCGCTCCCCTGCTCCTCGCGAGCCAGCTCGGAGCCTTCGCCGAACCTTCGCCGAACCTTCTCTCCGCAGGCACCGTCCTCATCTACCTCTTCCTCTCCCTCCTCCTCACGCTGGGCTCGATCCTCGTCCTCGCGCAGGGCCACGACCCGATCGACGGCGGCGTCACCCCGTCCCCCACCCCCACGGTACCGAACCCATACCTTACCCCCACGGTACCCAAACCCACTTGCCTGCAGGCTTCGACAACCCTGTCTTCAAATCCTGCAGCCCGCGCGAGTTCTGGGGCCGCCGCTGGAACTTGCAGGCAAATCTCCCCATATCTCCCCATATCTTGGGCATTCGCTGGAATCTCGCAGCCAAGTGGGTTCGGGTGACGTGGGGGTAGGGTATGGTCGCCCGGAGCCTGCAGGCAAGTGCAGCAGCTGCGAATCTCGGCTGGGTCACGGCCAGATCTGGACAAGTATCTGGCCGAGATCTCGGCGGGATCTTGGCGGGATCTCGGCGAGATCTCGGCGAGATCTCGGCGACGGGGCGGCGGCATCGACAGACATCGACGCCGCCGCCGCCGCCGCCGCGTCAAGACGCGTTCGCATAGCCCCGCCTCTTCCCGCGCCGCAGGTGAACGCGATGCTCAAGCGCAGCTGCTACAAGCCTCTCGCCGGCGCGGGGCTGGCGGCCCCCCTCGCCACCCTCGCAACCTTCGGCGCGACCACCCCACGCCCCCCCTCCTCCGACCCGTCGACTGCCCCGCACAGCGCGTCTCTTCACACCTGCCTGCTGCTGTGGACAGGTGCGTCGGCCGGCTTCCACGAGTACCAGTTCGCGCTGTCGATGCCAGGCTACAGGCCCGCACGTTATCCTTATCGCTGCCACTACTGCTGCTACTGGTACTCTCATCATCATTGTTGAGTGTCATCGTCAGTGTCCTGCACAGGGTGGGCACCGCCTCCGTCTTCTTCCTCGGCCAGGTCTCTCTCTCTCTCTCTCTCTCTCTCTCTCTCTCTCTCTCTCTCTCTCTCTCTCTCTCTCTCTCTCTCTCTCTCTCTCTCTCTCTCTCTCTCTCTCTCTGTGTCTCTGTCTCTGTGTCTGTGTGTCTGTCTGTGTCTCTTTCTGTCTCTGTCTCTCTCTCTCTCTCTCTCTGTCTGCGTGTCTCTCTCTCTCTCTGGCTGTGTCTCTGTCTCCGCCTCTCTCGGTGTCGCTCTCGCGCCCGCTCCCTGGCCCCGCCCGCCGGTGCGCGTCCTCCTCGTCCGCGCGCGTCCCTCCTCCTCGGCCTGGGGTCCGCCTTCGGCGCTGGCGCCGCTGTC